TTACAAAACGTATATGCACAAGTCGAAAGGACAAATATTCTCCAATACTGATAATAGTGGCATTTTAATTTTCCTGCTGCTGGAGAATGAGCATTCTCTACAGCTAGCTTGACACCAGGGCTCCTTCAACTGGCCCTCATTCCACAAGTAATTCCCCAAGTTACTTTGAGTAAAAACCCTCAAGGAGACAATTCAATTTCCAAATGTAAATTCCAACAACATACACGGGGAACACTATCACTACCAGTCCCCTGGTGAGAAATGAGGTTTCTACAAAATGTGATTGCGTTTGACATTGTTGCCGCTCCTGTGAAGTGGTTTTTCAATGTTAAAAGAGGCTGTTTCTATTGGGAAGGGATTTGTTCATGTAAAGTTGAAAGTTTACGCTTGTTATGCATGAGTTCGAGGGAAGGAAGGCAGAAACGATGGGGAAAGACATGGGTGTTCAATGTCATGTGGTTTTGAAGGGCTTGTTTCTGACCTTAATTATGATCTGTCATGAATACAGAATATAGGGTTCCTGCCACAGGTGAGCATGAAATGTGGACCCACAATGTCTTCCTCACACATATCCCCTTCACCTTAAAATACCGCCTGCCATCAATGAATGAATTCACCCCCCAAGGAGCTGAGTCTACAGGATCCAGAATTTGATTTTGGGTGGAACAGCAAATTCACATTCTAGATACTTTGCTATAAAGCAAAGATTATGACAGGCAAACATTATCAGCTTTCTACAGGCAAAAACAAGTAGGTGAAATCCTTCTAGAAAATGAATGTTCGACACGTGATTTTTCTCTATTTGATTTTCTTTATTTGATTTATAAGAACACATTGATAGACCTTCCTTGTAGGATTAAAACTAAATTGCAGGTATCCAGCCATTAATTCCATTGAGGCTGGTTTGTTTGTTTTTGACTTTCAAAAGATTGTGATATTTAGATGACACAGAACGAAACGATCTGGGATCCTAATTGTGCTGGATTAGAGCTGAACACATGTTCGTGGCCAGAACCATGATATTTCTACTGGGTTCATCAACTCCTCCACAAAAAGATGTGTAACAAAGGCCAACTGTTCTGCAAACGCCTCATCAGCCGTATCCCAAAGGACCTGGGCAGATGGTAAAGGGGGCTGCAGAGAAGTGGCCTGGCGGGCAGGCGGGAATCTGCCGGTGTTCCAGCTTCACTTCTGCGTCCAACAGGCTCTGTGACCTTGGAGAGGGCAACTTTTCTCTCTGGGTCCCAGTGTCTTCATTCACAAAATGGGTAGAACTAGGTTATTCTTCAAATCCCATATTTAACAGTTTAAAAGGCAACTGGGGCCAGGTGCAGTGGCTCATGCCTGTAATCCCAGAACTTTGTATGGCCGAGGCAGGAAACTCACTTGAACCCAAGAATTTGAGACCAGTCTGGGCAACAAGGGAGACCTTGTTTCTATGAAAAATAATTAGCCAGGCATAGTAGTGCACACTTGTGATCTTAACTACTCAGGAGGCTGAGGTGGGAGGATCGCTTGGGCGCAGGAGGTCAGGCCTGCTGTGAACTAAGATCATGCTACAGTACTTCAGCCTGGGCAACAGAGCAAGATCCTTTCTTAAAAAACAAATAAACAAAAAAAAAAATAGAAATTGAGTCTTCTCATTTACAAGGGCCAGAGATGGGTGCAGGCTGCTTTCAGCTCTAAGTTTCTGCTGGCAGCAGCCACCGTGGAAGCAAGCATGGACCTCCAGAGCTTCAGCACCTAGGGAGTGCCTTCTAAGAACACCATTACTTACCCACATTTCAGCATCTCCCACCCACTAAAGAAACCACCCATTCGATCATCCTAAGACCCTGTTCAGCTCTTTAGGTGCCAAAGATAAAGCACGACAAATTTTATAAAAATTTTTCTGGGCTCTAAGCATAAATCCATCTTTTGTATTGGATGCTACCACCTGTGTGCAGGGTGTTTTAATTATTAATTTAATTTAATGTCATTTCAAAGGTACCATCAGATAGTACTCCTCAAGGGAAACTGTGGCTTGGGCTGGGAGGCACGTATTCAAATTTCTGTACCTAGGCCAGGTACGGTGGCTCATGCCTTAATTTGAGCACTTTGGGAAGCCAAGGTGGGAGGACTGCTTGAGCCCTGGAGTTTGAGACCAGCATGGGCAACATAGTAAGACATCTCTACTAAATACAAAAAAATTAGCAAGGCATGGTGGTGCGCACCTGAAGTCCTGGCTACTCAGGAGGCTGAGGTAGGAGGATCACTTGAGCCTGGGAGGCTGAGATTGCAATAGCCATGATTGCACCACTGCACTCCAGCCTGGGCGACAGAGCCAAAATCTTGTCTCAAAAAAAAAAAAAAAAAAAAGTCTGTACTTTGGCCCAGCACTTTGCAGGATACATGAAGACATATCGGTTCCCCAAACTGTGCTCCTCACCGTACTTACCGTATGGCTTGAGGGCATGTGACATCCTTCCTGAGGACGTTCCTGCCTCCTGGGATGCAGGGAGCTCGCATGCACCAATGGGCAGATCTGTACAGGTAAGAACAGACCCGAGGACAGTGTGGGCCATGGGTCCCCTTTAGTCTCGCCGCTGTGTCACACTAGCTATTCAGCTAGGGAAAGAATTAAACAGGGTTCCAGCAGACATGATTGAAATATGCCGTTGACTTCCTGTGAATATCCACTACTACCAAGTATCATTTGACGTGATACGTGTTATTAAAATAGAATTTGTATGTTTTGCATAACTTTTTTTTTTTGCCAATGTTCCAAAGTTTGTTCATGGTCACAGCGGGAAGGTTCTCGTGGCAAGCATTCTTCCGAGGGGTAGCAAGATGCTACACGCCTAGGAAAAATAAAATTCAAAGTTTAAAGTGAAAAAAAAAAAATAGAGTAAGACCTACTATTTGATAGTAAAACAGCGTGACTATAACCAATAATAACTGTACATTTTAAAATAACTGAGTGTAACTGGATTGTTTGCAACTCAATGGATGAATGCTTGAGGGGGTAGATACCCTAATTCTCCATGATGTGCTTATTTATTTCACATTGCATGCCTGTTTCAAGACATCTCATGTACCCCATAAATATATATACTATGTACCCACAAAAATTAAAAATAGAAAAAATATGAATATAAAGTTTAAAATGACCACACCAACTGTATTGGTAATCCAGTTTAAAGTGACCTCACCAACTGTACTGGTAATCCAGTTTAAAGTGACCTCACCAACTGTATTGGTAATCCAGTTTAAAGTGACCACACCAACTGTACTGGTAATCCAGTTTAAAATGACCTCGCCAACCGTATTGATAATCCGGTTTTGCATTCTGACTTCTGAAATATGATCATAAACATTTAATTCTGGGCCATAACTGGGAAATTAGTTACCGAACAACTAATTTTCAACGAAATAGCCCACAAAGTTTACATAGATCATTCTTGTGTTTAATAATAAAATATTTAATAAGAGAGTAGAAAGTATAGAGAAGAAAATTATGAATTCATCAAATCAGGCCTTTCTGCATCCAGATTGCATTCAGAAAACTTGCTTAACACCTAGGAGATTATTGTCCAAAGTTGCTAGTGTTTCGTGTTTTTTTCATTGCTTTTGTTGTGAAAGCTGTGCGTTACTCATCTATTTTTATATGAATCTGAAATACAGTATTTATCCCATATGTCCATATGGTAAAGTAATCAAGAAGAATATCTTCAGTGCTTAGCAGCCCCACCCCAATTTAAAGGAAACCTGACTGTAGTAAATTCATGCTAATTGAGAGCTTGGGCAAGGGGTTAAAACATTACCCAGGTACAAGTCGGGTGGCCATTATAAATGTTACCCAAATAAAAGCCAGAAACAGGAAGCCAAAAAACAGGTCCCTAAGGCAGGCATGTGTCTTAAATGATATCATTTGTCAGGTTTCCAGCATCTTGTGGTGGTGAACACAGAAAGGAGGTCTGTGTAGTACCGAGGACATTACATCCTCATTAGCTGGAATGTTCCTCAAGTACATAATGCAGGATTTTCATTTTAATAAGAAGCAGCTACTTGTCACTGCACTTTCATTAGATAAACACAGAATGTAATACTAATGACCATTTACAGAGGCTCTATTCTACTCCTGAGAAACTTCATCCAGATGAAATCATATAATGACAATTTATAGAACACATCATGCAAAACTTCCTTCATTTCTTTGCAAACTATTCCCTGAAAATTTTTTTTTAATGGTGAAGTCAGTGAACAGCACTAGCCATCATCAAAGGGGCCTCAAATGACACTGCTGGTATTTTCTGCCTGCAAAACAGGTTTGAAGGAAGAGCATTTGGCTCTTTGCAAGTCACAACCAAATGGTAACAGATCACTGGGCCTCCTTGGTTTCTCAAGAGGCAAGCTCCTTCCACCCTGCCCGGCTGGTGACCTTAAAGCCCGACATGCAGAGAAGTCCACACTGAGAAATAATTTATCCACTGGGATTGTTCCACCCTGGCCCCTTCTCTAAAACAAAGACTGACAATTGCCCTGAATTATGGATGTACTTTTTGTGATATGTATTACAGTTCAGAAGAAAGGTGTTGAGACCATCATACCATTTCACCTCCCATTAGACGCTGGTCTTGAACAATAATCCCAGAAGATGAAACTGATGCTGAACTATGACCCTCAATTTACAAATCATTTTTCAAAAGAATAAGAAAAAAGTTTAAACATATTTTTGGCATTATCTGAATGGGCGGAATTGTTCATGCTTGTTTTCTCAGAATAAGTGAAAACAGCATGTGGTGCACTTTCTTAGTTTGGGGAAAGAGAGAACATGAGGTTTTCAGATTATATTTTATTTTAATCCTGGATGTCTGAATTTATTTTTACATAGCTGAATTTAGTATATTCCCTCAAAACATAATAAATTTCTATTCTGTAGCTTAAGGGATCCATCAGTTAAAATGTTGGTCTTTCATCTTTATTACCCTCCCATTAAAATGAAAGAAACCGGGACTCACTTCAGTTTCGAAGAAGCAATTTAGTTGGTAATGTCCTTACTCCCCAAGTCTTTACAAAGGGAGAAAGTACATTATTGCTTAGATTTCACACATCTATCTGCATAAGAAGCAACTAAGCCTTTCGGACATATACTACGTGAAATTTAATAATATTCTTCGATTAGATTATTTTATTACAACATTTTTCCATTACCAGTCATTTCCTGCGCAGGGTTACATTCATAAACCTGCTCCCGCCCCTCCTTTGTTTGTTTGCGAATGTAAAAGCCAGGCAAAGTCTCTTCCCGTGTTGCTGTGGCTGTTAGGTCTGAAAGGGACAGATGAATAACTAAGCACCACCCTGGACAGGCTTTCCGAGTCCCCTGCACCAGTAACCCTTTGCTATAATGAGGACACAAAGAGCCTCGCATCAGGCTGCTACCCTTCTTCATAACTCAAAAGCGTCACAGTGGCAATAGCCTCTAGTGCTATTTGTCTTTAGTGCAGTTGTGACACTTCGGCATGATCCATAATTTGGCAGCTATTTACCGTGACATTTCCCTTCAGTGCAGCCATAACATTCAGTGAAGCCATTATTCGGTTCCATTTACCATATAAATTGTATTGTTGTGCATGCATGCTAGCAGCTACATTAGGTACCTGAAAATGAGTAAATCTTGTAAAACAGATACTAACAGCTATTCAGCAGTAGGATTTCCTGGCTCCTCAGATGGAAGGAAAGAAAAATACAGTCCCTAAGTTTCCTGGAGTGTCTTTAATTGCGTCCATATTTATTGAACAGGTTAGATACACCGAAACCTAAGACTTTGAAAAATAATCTGGTGGGCTTCACCTTCAATTAGAAGGGCGCCGTGGGATGTCAGTGCAACGGTGACAGCGGCAGCAGTCTTCAGGGCACTGAAGGTTAAGAGGGAAGCAGATGAGCCACAGGCGTGATTCAGAAGGGAGGGTGCAGGTTTCGCAGCTTTCCCTGTGCGGTCGGTGGGCGAGTGTGGGACACCAGGCTACCATGCCAAGGAGCATCTCATTCCACCAGAACGTGGGAACAGGGAAATGGGAATGCAGAATCAGTGGCTGCTATTCTGTTTCCAGAATCAGAGGTAACACGTAGCTTTTAGTTTGAAAGCCTCCAAGGAGAAGCGAATGTATTCTGATGACTGAGGTCCCTACTGTGCACAGGGCGATGGGACACACCACGCGGTACCTCGGGCAGTGGAACACGTGGTCACCGAGGCCTTTGGGTGTGGTGTGCCTCGAGAGCACCTCCTCCCAGGACTGTGTTGTGGCAAAGTCTCACTGTGAATGGAGTGCATACTCTTCTCTTTCCTGTGCCTCTATAAATTTTAAGTCCCCCTAATGCCTGTGGTTTCCCTTTCCAAAACCTACTTTCTGTCTATTTAAGTTTTCAACATTAATTTGCTGCTTCAGAGGAAAGAGAACATTTCCATTTCACATGTGCCTTTCCAGGTTGATGGGAGATAAAAGCCATTATGTGATACTTCTTCAAAACACATCTGTGTTCATGGAATCATTCTTCTAATAGCAAAATCAAATTTGGGAGGGAATTCCCCCAAATTTCCATTTAGATAGTTGGAAAGTGATTTATAGAAAAAAAAAAAGACCATTTCCTGAGGACACAGATTCTGAAAATATATGGCTGGCTTTTGCTATATTTCTCACCCATGAACTGCTTATTAGCATAAGACCAAATTCTCCCAAAGCAAAAAGGAATTCAGGAACCACTTTCAAAACTGATTTTAAAATGTCATCAAGCTGAAGACACACTGACTCGATCAGATCTGGCATCAGGAATTAATGTAGTTCCCTGGCACAGTAAAATCTGGAATGGGACCATCCGTGGATCAAGAACTGAATGTAAACGTTTTGCCTCTTAGCCATGGAGGGAAGTTTTATTAGCACATTTCTTCTCCCAAGGGAGGAGGAGGAGGAGGAGGAAGAGAAGGAGAAACCTATTCATTAACACCTTACTTTTGTTTTAAGAAATATTATATCCATTACCAACTAAAAATAAATTGATTTGAGTAATTCTGAGACATAAAGTACCCATTTTCTTTCCCCCTTGATTTATGTCATTGTTCTGTTTTTACAGCTTACTGTTGACAGAGTGAGGTAATTCAACTACAATTTTTCCAGTGTTTTTTCCCATGTACATGTAATTGACAGCACGGAATATGGACTCCAGGCCAGTAAACCTGCCCTCTGGAGACAGATCTCCAAGGTCTACCTCACAAACCAGGTCTCCACTCACACACATCTTGAGCAAGTGGCCCATGGCTGCTTGATACTTAGAAAGGTAATGGTTCAGGAAGAAGCCCTGGATGCCAGCAGATTTCCTGAGCAGTTTGCCTGGCAACGTTCCTGCTTTCACAGGCGAAAGGCCAGTGGGCGTTTGGTAGCCAGAGATAAACCCTATTACTATCAAGCGCCCTTTGGTCGCCAGGGCATCTACAGCCAGGTCAAACATGGCTCCCCCGACAGATTCATAGACCACATCGATGCCTTCAGGGTACTCCTGCTTAAGGACAGCACCTACGGGTTCAGTTTTATAGTTGATGGGACGATCACAGCCAAGAGATTTCAGAAAAGCAGACTTTTCATCAGAAGAGCACGTTCCAATCACATGGCACTTTGCCTTCTTTGAAAGCTGCACGGCAAACTGGCCCGTTCCCCCAGCTGCTGCTGTCACCAAAACTTTTTTCCCTTCCGACAGTTCTGCAAGCTCTTTCAGGCTGATGTATGCGGTGGTGCCACTTACCAGCAGGGTAAGATACTCGGGTTTCACTGAGGGCACCGGAGTTGCAATGTTGGCAGGCACAAGTGTGTACTCAGCAAAAGAACCAGGTGCCATGTAAGCCACAGCTTGGCCAACTGTGTATCTGGCACTAGCAGAGAGGCCTAGGGCTACCACCTCCCCGATGCCTTCGAAACCTATGTCAAAGGGAGGCTTAACTGAGGGGTCATAGCGGCCAGCTGAATAGTTGATGTCAGATGCGTTAACACCAACAAATCTAAAAGAAAACAAACAAACAAATATATTATGATGGGTTTTCTGTTAAGCCTTTCGATTCTGCTTAGAGAAATTCTTCTATTCTGGTGACTGTGGAGGGGTTGCTAAGCTATACAATCTGATAGAATTTGAGAAAGTTAGTCCTCCTGCTCAGATAAAAAAACAAATTAAACAAGTATTAGTTCAATGTGCTTTGTACCGAGTTTTGGCATATTTTATCCTTTCATCAATTTAGAAATTATTTCATTTCATTTTAAATGGCAAGTTGTTTGTTTCACATGCCATTTATTTCTGTCCTCTTTCTTTCAGAAGCAAAAGAAATAAGCAAAAAAAAAAAAAAAAAAAAAGAGAAAAAAAGAAAAAAAGAATCAGGAAGCCCTCATTATATATAAACTTCACTGGAGCTGTGAGATGGAAATTAATTGGCCTCTTAACAAAGATGTTAAAAACAACACTGGGATAAAATATATTCAAAGAAGTGGACTTGTATTGATTCTGGCAACAATTTAACACTTAAGATAATAATAGTAATGACAATGATATTATTAAAGATTGATGGAATGTGCAAGGTCACTGGTTGCTACATGTTCCTGCAGGAGTTGCTCGAAGCACTGTTAGAGTGGCTGTCGCAAATTTTCTTTCTGATGTAACTACATCCAGTGTGAAGACACGCATTTTGATTAATTGAACAAAAATTGGGTAGAGCGATTTTTATGAAGCATTCAACATTTCACAGTCCTTTTCAGATGAAAAGAAAAGCAAATCGTCACTGTATTTTTCCTCAACAAGAAGCAGAGACTTAACTTGATTAATACCAGATGATTATTTTCATTTTGGTATCCGGAGTCAATTTACTTGGGAGGTCACTATTTTTCCCAGCTTTTTTCCTCTCAGTATACCTCATAACAAAAATATCCTGATACATAGGGGGAAAAAAAGCCATCTACTAAGAATGTCAGGAGGTGGCTTAGGAGGACATGGAAGACGCTTAAAATGTCATTTCCACCTGTAACAGTATGAAAAGGTGGTAGGGACTGGTGGCAGGAGGAACGCTGTTAGGTAGGTCATTTTAAAGAAATTCACCTTTAATTTAACTTAACCAAAACTGCCCTGTATGTGATACACTTTCACTGTAATAGAGAAAACACTCTGTGTTTATAAATGCTCACTCACCATCATCTCTCGTGTATATACAGGACAGAAAAGTCTCTGTATAGCGGAGAAATAAGAACGTGGGGAGCAGTTGGTTTCTGTTATGTCAAGCTGCCTTCAGACCCAGCACACCACACAGCCTCAGTTACACCCCACACAATTCCATACCCATGGAAGATATACAATCATGAGAGGGGAGAAAGATGAGTTTTGTTGGTTTCTCATTTAATATCAAGATGCCTGGGTTCTATTTTTTTTTTTCTACATTCTATTTTCAGAGAAGGGAAAGAACCTGCCGTCTTTCCTCTGAATTGACGTAATTCTCAACGCCTGGCGTTGTAAAAAGGGCCCGCTTCCCGGGAGCTTCTTCTGGACTTCACAGCAGCAGCCCAGGGCAGAGCCAGCTGGAGCCCATCTCAGTGCCTCTGCCTTAGGCGGTGAAGCAAACGCCAGGAAAGGTGCCCGTGGGGGTAGAAGTGACCGAGGGTTTGCTCTGGAGGTGGGGGTCAGGGGCAGACCCACTGCCAGTTGTGTTCTGTGGGATCCTGGCCCACGATTAACCCTTCCCACGCCCCTCATCCCTCCAGGCTTGTCCCCCTGCGTCTCCGAAGTCCCACAGGCAGTGGCCGCTCCTCTGCAGGGAGATTCCGCCTTGGGCTGGGGGGCCGTCCGGGCTGCCAACCCCGCAGAGACGGCAGCCCTGGGAGTTCTCCCCGCCTTGGAAGGGGCGTGCGCCGGGGGCTCTGCAGGAGGAAAACGCAGCTCCCCCTCTCCCCGCCCCAGGCTGTGGTTTGCCACTTCCTGGGAAGTGGTGGAGAGACGAAGCCGGACACACAGCGGAGCAGCCTGGGGAGCGCGCACTGGCGCTGGACCCGGTTAGCAGAGGTCAAGTTTGGGAGCGGGGAGTGGGGAGTGGGGCTGTGCTGGGAGCCGGGATGGCTGCAGCCAGCCTGTGGCTGCTTGAGTTTGCCAGGGACCTTTGCTAGAAAAGCCACACCAGACATCGTGGTGATTTGTACGGGCAGGCACTGGAGCGGTGGCAGCAGCCGCGCAGGGCCCGCGTGCCCGTCCAGGCTCTGTCCAGCTCGCCCTCACCCTCGGAAGTGCCTCCACCGCCGCTGCCAGCTCCAACCGCGCAGTCCTGGAGCCTCCCCGCCAACACGGAGAGGGGGATCAAGAACCCCAACTCCCGGGCTGGGGGCGCGCACGCCGGGCCTGAGGTGGAGCCGAGGCTACTCGGGCCTGCGACCGTGACCTCGGCCTCTCTGGGCCGGGCTGGGGCCCCGGTAGGCGCGCACAGTCCGCGCCCTTCGTCTCAGGGCCGCCCGCGCAGCTCCGCCGGGGTGGACAAAGTTCTGAGTTCCGTGCACGCGGCGCGCTGGAGCGCAGCGGCCGCTAGACAGGGCCAGCCGGCGACCTGACCATGACCTTGGCCTCGCAAGCACCCCCATCTCTCACCCCCACTCTCCCGCCCCGCTGTCTCCTAAATCGCCTGCGTTGTCCGTGTAGGAGGCTTGGGAGGGCTGACGGCAAGAGCCCGCGGTGGCTGGTGGCTCGGCTGGCTCCTCGCACCGCGTCCTCTTCTTGGTCTCCCAGCCCCCGGTTCGCGGACCCCCACCTCCAGCGGGATCCCCGCTTGGACACGGCTTCGCCCCCGCGGCTGGCTGGGACCCTCCACAGCCCGGGACCCTCCTGAGTCCTTACCTCTGCGCGAGGGTCCGCAGCTCGCGCCTCCAGCTCCACCAGAAACAAGTTCAAGCGCAGCAGGCGCAAAGGGAACGGGGCCGGGACGGGGAGCAGGGACGGAAGGGCCAGGGAACCGCAGAAAGGCAAGAGGGACACGCTTGGGAAGGATGCGTGCATTTGGAGACCCTCCCTGTGCCCCCCTTTAATTGAAAATATGTGCGTGTAATGAGCAAAGGATTCTAGCAATCCGACGGGAGGATCCACTTAAAAGACTAAAATCCAGGAACCCCAGAAAAAAAGAATAGGACCGGCGCAGGCATTCTCCAAATCTATATCCTTCTAGAGTCACTCGGCTTACTTGTACTAAAAAGTGCTAAACCCCCTCTTCATGTTTACTGAGAAACAGAGCGATCCCGCTGAGGGGAGGAAAGCGCTTTCCTCTGAACAAAAACCAAAGGCGAGGATTCAAGTCCAGAGTAAAAGCCTTCAATACTGGGAGACAAAACAAACTCGTCCAAATCAGACCTGCCTTAAAAATAAAATAAAAGGAAGAAGGAAGGAAGGAAGGAAAAGAAGGCAAGAAAGACAGGAAAAAAAGAAAGGAAAAAAATCTCGGCCTGGAGAGTCAGCAGAAAATACCGTTCCCCTCCCGTAAGCAACAAACCGTTTATCAAAAACGCCTCCCCCATCCCCCACCTTCTCTTAGCCATTCCTACAAACTCTTTGCTCCATTATCTTACACTTGAGCAGAAAATCGTTAGAAATATTTGGAAACGAAATAATCTGTCACTTTCTTAGGAAAAAAGCTAAAAATAGTACATAAACTGACTTAACCTGGGGGTCTTTCTTTTTCTTTTCTAAGCACTGAGAGTAGAGGGGGAGATGGGAAGTTGTTCTCCGATACAGCAAACAGGAAGGTAAGAACTGGATAAAGGGCCATCAATTACACATTCTACAGGGATTTTACACGCCCCTTCTTACATCTTTCCTAAATAGTAAACTTTATTCTAAATCAATGTCTAGCTTACAAGCACGTCCCTCCCTGTGAATGAAGAATTTGTATTTTCTGCTAAGATGCAATGAAATGTGCAAATGGTTCACTGAAAGAAAAAATCCGGCAGAGCACAATTCAAACCTCCAAACAGCTTCCAAACAAGCGAATTTAGGCTTACTCAGTTCTTCCTAGAGCAGATTTTATGATAATAAAAATGAGAAGCACTTGCATAAAATTTAAAGCCATTCACATTGCTTAGGGGAGATTTGGTCTAGGATTAAAATGAACTAACCTGCAGTGAATCATTAAGCCTCTATTCTTAAAAAAGTCGGTAACATGTCACATCCACTGACACTGTTAGCAAGAATACAGGATCTTCCTACAACGTGGTGGTAGGAGCAGATTTTCCAACAGAGTCGGGAAAGGGGGAGGCACAGATTCTATCCCCTCCCAACTCAGAAGAAAACTGGCCCCTTTCTTTTCCATGAAGGACTCAGGGTAGAAACTAGAGGTCAAGTACTTCATATGGAGATATTATTTATATTAAAAAGATTCTTGGCATGTGTGTAGGGAAAAAAGAGGCAGAGATTTGAAAGTGGGGCACATTGAGGAACTCCAAACAGGAGAGGCTGCACTCCCGCGCTCTGACCACAGAATTCAGGGATCCACGTGTCTCCTGACTGGGACCAACCCTGGTGACCCGGTGCAGGCAGTGCCTAGGCACCCAGGCTGTGCCACTGACGCCAGGGGAGAACAGCTCTTTGGGGAAGGGGAAAGGGAGGGGTCCCAGGGCAGCAGTAAGCCTGAAGGGAGAGGAATCACAGGAGAAAAAAAAAAACACCAGAGTTGATTAACACTCGCAGCTAGAGAGGCCCAGGAGGTCCCGCGCAGCCCTGCGGGAGCCCTCTCCACCTCTCCACTGAGGGCGGGTGGTCCCACCAGGCTGTGGCTTACAGTTCTCTAACGACCCACCTTCCCCCTGCCCTTCCTCTCTCTGTCACCCCCTCCCCATATCACACCATTTCCAAAGGGCTTTCATTCACAAACTTGTGTGTGTGTTTATACTAGTGTTTGCAGTCGAGTATACTTCATCAGAAGGAGAAAAAGGAAAGAATCCTGTGTGGAACTTCTTGCCCGTTAAAGTTTGTTTGGAAATCTTTCCAGTCTGGTGTCATCTCAACTTCTAGCAAATCACTCGTGCGCTCTGTTCCCGAGAACACACACTGAAGCCTTTCCTTTTAGCCTGGCCGGGTGCACGCTCTCTCAACAGCACTGGCATCTCATCCCATCATGAAGCAGCCCTCTGCTGCGTCCACAGCCAATGCAAACATTTTCAAGGATCCCTAGACACTCCCCTTCCAGGCATTCCAGACCAGCCTCCCACCCCCACCTCCACACAATCCCACCCATGGTTCAGTCATTTTTTCCAAAAGGTTTCCAAAAGTTTTATATCCTGATCAGCATTCTTCTATGCTACAGTCTTTTAGGAAGGCCGATAGGAATCTCGGAAATGGACAGATTCAGTGCTGCACCAAGCTACTTAGGAAGGGAACATTTTGTCCTTCAGTCCGTGCAGGGGACTTGCAGTACTTTCCAGCACACAATTTACAACATAGTTACAGCCTGAACCTACTCCTCCCCTTCGATATTATTATTCAACTTGAAACCGGCAGCACCGTAACCCTTTCGATGGGACTTTGCAGGCCAGAGGGCACAGAGGAGCGCCTTCCCAGCCAAGTCGGCAGCCGGGGACCCACGGAGCAGAGACCCTGAGAACATGGCTCCGATACAGAGTGAGGTCGGTTTCCTCCCTGTTGCTTCGCCAGTTACTGAAGATGAGTGTGGCGGAAACACACTACGGTGGGGAGCGTGGGGGGTAGCCAGAAGGTCTCCCAACAACCAGGGTGTCAACTGAATGTCTGCGAACGTGCGGGCAAAGGCAGCCATGCCTGCACCCCGACCCTGGCCCAGCTGCCCGGGCCACGCGCCACACGGCTGTCGTTACACTCAAGGGACCGACAACAGTCACACTGCACTGACAACACGCAGACTACACAGGCGAGGTGCACACCCACACACCGAACGACAGGCTCCGCCACTGCGAGGCGGCTGACAACCTGGAGGGCACAGGAAAAGCCAGCCGGGTCCCAGCCTCCCTCCTCCAAAGCATGTTTACCTACACGTCGCGGTTTGCGTCCAGGCTGCTCCCGCTCCACCCTAAAGATTATGTCAACGCAGGAACTGTGGGTGCGCGCGGGTGGGCCGCCGGGGAGCCTCCCCTTCTGGGTCCCGTTGGTTTTATTTCAGGAACGGGAGGGGGAGGAGGGAGGGCTGGAGGAGGGGAGGGGAATCCCAAATTAAAATAACCCTCAGTTATGAGGACGTTCGGTGGCATCGGATATTCACACCAGCAAGTCACATCACATTCGCCTTCGCCAGATGGCGGCGGGTTCAACTTCCCGGGATCTCGCAAAGTCAGGCTGTGCGCCCGAGCGCGCGCCGGAGAGTGGGCACGCGGGCGGGCTGGGGACGGCGGGAACGGCGCGGCGCGAGCCAGGGGCGAGAACTGGGGCGTGGGGCCGGAAAGGGGGCGCGCCGGGCTCACCGGTTCCGGACGAGGAGGTCTCCGTCCCCGGGGAGCGGGACCGGGCAGTCTCGGCGCAGCGTGACGGCCTCGCGGAAGTTGGGGCTCAGCTGGGTCACCACCAGCTTCTGCATGGCGTGGGGAATGGCGGAGCCCTGGAAGTCCAGGAAGTGGCGGGCGTACGACATGTCCACGATGGTCCGGGCCCCGGCGGCCACCAGCCGCAGCATTGCCCGCGCCTCCGCCCGCGCTCTGCGCCGCTGCTGGCCGGGGTCGGGCCCCGCCCGGGCCGCTCGGCTCGGCTGTGCTCGGCGCGGGCGGGCGGGTCCGCCCCTCCTCCGGCCGGCGCCCTCCCTCGGCTCCCCCCTCTTTCCCGCGACGCCTGCCCGTGCTCCCCCCGCCTCCCCGGCGCCGGCGCAGCCCCCGCGAACCCGGGCGCGCCGCCCCGGGTGTCCCGGCTTGGGGACCGCTGCCGCCCCGGCCGCTGCTCCTTTAATCTTTTTGTTTTGGTTTGAATCTGCTCGGCGCAGACTGGCCAAGGATCTTCTCCGCCCTCCCCCTTCCTCCTGGAGCGGGAGAGGCACCGGATATCCCCACCCTCCCCGGGCTCGAAAAGCCGGATTTGACTCCACTCTGGCGGCGGGGGGGGGGGGGGGGAGGCGGGGGAAGGTGGCCGGCGGGCAGCTGGGGGACTCGTCCGCCGCCCCGAGCCGGCTGCAGCCACGGGCGTCCCCGGAGCGGCGCGGCGGCCGGCGCTGGCGCCTCCCCTTCCCGTGCGAAGCGTTCACTTCCTTGCAAGGTGGTACGAATCAACCCCGAGCGCGGCCCGGGCGGCGGGGCACGGCCGGGGGCCCCGGGCCGGGCGGGGAGCTCTTGCCGCCTCCCCGGCACGCGCACCCGCACCCACCGCGGGGCGGGGAGAATCCCAGAGCCTCCCGCGCCCCAGGCGGGTGGCTTCCTGTCCCCGGGACGCCTGGCCCGCGCCTTCTGTCCCCAGTCTGTCCCATGCAAGTTGCACCAACTAAGCCATTTTATTTATTTTGGCCTAGATTTCATGTTTTTCCATGAACGTTTTAAGTACCTCTGTGAGACTGTTACAGGTTCCCCATTAGGAGAGAACACACATATTGAAAGCCAGAAGGCCAAATTCCCAGAGCACAGACACATTTTAAAGTTCTAGCTGGGGATGCCGAGGGACTTAACTGAATTGGAGACGTTGCACTGATGTAGGAGGACCTCCTCTTCGAACCCAGCGAGAAAGATGTGTCGTTCCATCGTGTACGTTTTCTCCCTACTGGCGTGCATTGACCAAATATCAATTCACTTTTCATAGAGGGGCCAAATTAAATATTTCCACACCTTTCTGTGATGAACTAAGTCCATCTTTAAATTTTTATTTAAATTGTAAATTTTAATTTAAAAAATCTCTTGTTTTTTCATTTATCCACGAATTATAAAATAGAAAAGCCACATTGGGCTCCTCCCCGGCCAAATCTAACCCCCAATCTGGGATTGCAAAAGCGACACAGGTATTTTTTTCCCTTCCAAATGTAGGACGTGCTTCACCCAAGGGTAGTTTGGATGCACGTGGTTGCGTGTGTATGAATGTGCAAGAGTGTGTGTGTGTTGGGGGGGAGACTAACAGGTTTAAAAATCTGCAGGAACTAATGTCTACTTAACTTAGAACACATGGGTTTTACCCGGTATCAGCCACTGGATTTCAATAACAACACTGAATGTCTTCCTCCAATGTACGATCTTTATGTTATGCTGTATTAAGATTTCTTTTTTTGTCATATTGTTTAGCTCCAAAAAAAAAAAAAAAAAAAAGAAAACAAAGCAATTAAAAAGATTGACAGGTATGGTTTGTGAGAGACCTATTTGTAATTGTCAGGGTGACGTTGGCGAGAGGAGGAGGAGTAAAAACTGAAGCAGGAAAAGCAGCTCGATGTGTCTGTCTATCAGTTGAGACTGTCTGAAAGCTCTGCGATCCGAATGTGTGTTATATTTCACTGAAAAGAGGAGAGAGCGAGAGTGCATCTCCCTCTCTCCCATGAGTTTGGGGGGGGGGACAGTCCACGCTCATCGCGCCCACCCAGTGAATGTCTGCGCTTCACCCCCTTTGCACACACTCTCCGGGTTGTTGTTGCCTTTTTTTTTTTCTTGGAGGGGGGGTGCTTTTTGTGTATTTTTCAATTTTTTTTCTGTTGGAAGATCAAGACCGGCCAAAAATCCATGATCAAAATGTGTTTGCATTAGATTTCGCATTGGAAGAAGCGGCGATCCCGGCGGCTAAGCCCCCCGGGGGGAAGCGCGGGGCACCAAGTGGCGCTCCGGCGGGGTGACACTGTTTGATCTGTGACTGTTTGGAAGGAGGAGCAGCGCCTGACATCTCCCCCCGGCGCATGTATGTACGGGGGCTTCACTCCTCTGTCTTGTTTGCTTTCTTCCTCTTAGACTAAGTGCGGGGAGGAAAAGGACAGCCTGGATCGGCCTCGCTGGCGCACAATGAGAAAGCTGCGACCCGCGCACTAAAAACACTCGCCGCGACCCCCGAGCAGCGAGGAGAGGGGGAGAGAAAGTTGCGCTCGGTGACTCTCGGCTCGCGGAAGAAGGCGCAGGGGAGCGCCCGGAGCGGCGCGCCCGAGGAGCGCCCGCCCAGCAGCAGCGCGGCGGCGGGGAGGCGGCAGCATGGAGCGCGGGCCGCGGGCCGGCCCGCCGAGCGCCCGCCGCTGCGCCCGCGGCCCGCGCCGGGGATGACTCCGGGCTCGGCGCCCAGGCCCCGCGCGCTCCGCCCGCAGCCCGGCGGCCGGGACGCGGCCCGCACGGCCGCCGCCGCCGCCTCCTGAGCGGTCCCGGGCGCGGCGGTCCATGCGAGCGGCTCCCCGCGGTCCGCGGCGCGCCCGGAGCCCGGAGCCCGCGGGGACGAGGCCAAAGTTGGGCGCGCCGCGGAGTTGCGCCCGCGCTCGGGGCCCCGCGTCCCCTCGTCCCCGCGCCCCGCGAACTCCGGCGACGGCTGCGGCGGCCGAGCAGCATGCCGAGGAGGAAGCAGCAGGCCCCCCGGCGCTCGGCAGGTAACGGGCGCGCGGCCCGCGCCGCGGGGAGTGGGCGCCGGGAGGAGCAGGAGCAGGAGGAGTGGGCTCCGCGGGCCGAGGTGCGGGGCGTGGGCCGCGGGCCGCCCCACGCTAGGGAGGGAGGGAGGCCCAGCTCGCGCTGGCCGCGGCAGTCCGGAGGCTGCGGTCGCCGTCCTCCCCCGCAACCCCCAGCCTGGGCCGGCGCGTGGAGCAGAGAAACTTCGCGGGGCTTCTCCGCGCTGCGGGAAGCCTGGAGGGCTGGGGGAGGACCGGGGCGCCGGGCGGTGGGTGTTAACGGGCAACCTCGGGAAGGGGCGTGCGCAGAGGGGAAGGAGTTTCTCCTCCGCGGCCGGAGCGCACGGGAAAGTCCTCCAGAGGCCGGGAGGCTGAACCTGACACTTGAAAATAAGGTCACCAGCCTGGGACGCAAAGAATGTGTTCAGAAGATTTCTCTGGAAAACAGCAGCCTTTAATGTCCTGTGCAACAGCCCCCCCGCCCCCACTTTTTTTTTTTTATTACTTCTAAAGATGTCTTTTGATCAGGCCAGCACAAGGCAGTGATAGTGCAGACTCTGATTGAACAGAAAAGTTATTTTTCTCTGGAGGAGGAACTGGCAGGAGCTGGTTTTCCTTGTTTTCTGTTTTATTAGAGGATTGCCATCCTTGATTTGATGTGTGATTGATCGCCTGTCATCTGGCAGCCTTTGATCTATTCATTCCT